TTTCTGATTAAGGTATTCAGCTCTCATTTTAACTACTTTGTAGAGGACAGAGCCTCTAAATGAAGATAATTTTATCCAGAGCCTCTGTAATTTTTCATACTTAATGTGTGACATTCTGTTAAAAATTACCAGGCAGGCCAAGAGCCAGTAAAAACAAAATGACCAAAAACCAATGGAAAGAATATACAATAGAAATAGACCCACAGAAGATCTAGCTATTATAATGATCAGAAAGATTTAAAATTGCTAGGATTGATATATCAAGAAAGTATAGGTAAAGGTGGAGAAAATAAATAAAAAGAGAATTTCTCCAAATGCATTGGATTTTATTTTTTTTAAAAAAACCATATGAAGGGCGCCTGGGTGGCTCAGTCGTTAAGCGTCTGCCTTCGACTCAGGTCATGATCCCGGGGTCCTGGGATCGAGTCCCGCATTGGGCTCCCTGTTCCGCGGGAAGCCTGCCTCTCCCTCTCCCATTCCCCCTGCTTGTGTTCCCTCTCTCGCTGTGTCTCTCTCTGTCAAATAAATAAATAAAATCTTAAAAAATAAAAAAATAAAAAAATAAAAAAACCATATGAAAATTCTAGAACTTAAAAATAAAATGACCAATATTAAGAGCTCAACAAACAGGGGCACCTGGGTGGCTCAGTCGGTTAAGCGTCTGCCTTTGGCTCAGGTCATGATCCCAGGGTCCTGGGATCGAGCCCCGCGTTGGGTTACCTGCTCAGCGGGAGTCCTGCTTTTCCCTCTCCCACTCCCTCTGCTCATGTTCCCTCTCTCACTGTGTCTCTCTCTGTCAAATAAATAAAATCTTTTTTTTTTAAAGAACTCAACAAACAGATTGAAGAGAAGATTTAGATAGATAGGTACAAAATATACAGACTCATGCACAAAGAGGCAGAAAAGATGACAGGAAATGCAGATGGTAAAGAGTGAAAAATTCTGACATATGTATAACTGAAGTCCTAAAAGGAAAAGAGAGATAAGAAGAGATAGTGACCAAGAGTATTCTAAAACAGATAAAAGTTATCAAACTACAGATTCAAGGAACTCCTTGAGAGGCACTCATCCCACCTCAGAACCCAAGTGGGATAAGTACAAAGAAAACCACATCTAGACATATCACAGGAAAACTGTTGAGAACTAAAGAAAAAAAATACCAAGAGGAGCTAGGAGAAAAAATACATTATTTTTCAAGAGTGACAAAGAAATGATGGAAACTAGGGGTCATCTTTTTTTTTTTTTTAAGATTTTATTTATTTATTTGAGAGAGAGAGAGCAAGCACAAGCAGGGGGAGGGACAGAGGGAGAGGGAAAAGCAGACTCTCCACTGAGCAGGGAGCCCCATGTGACATCTTTAAAATGCTGAGGGGAAAAAAAGTTACTAAACTAGAATTTCTACACCCAGCAAGTGGAGAGAACTTGTCACCAGTTGACCTGCTCTTAATAGAGGAATTATTCAAACAGAAGGAAAAAATTCCAGTCAGAAGCATATAAATGCGTATTGGAACAAGGTGTACCTTAAAGGATAAATGTGTAAGTAAATATAATGAGTATTGACTGTACAGAAAAATGATTATAAATCTTGTATGGCTTAAAATATATGCACAATTAAAATCTATGACAAAAATAAACACAAAAGGGGAAGGGGTAAGTGGGAGCATTGTATTTTAAGGTTTTGGCATTCTTGGGGAAGTGGTACAAGTAATCATTTATATCAGAGTGTAAGAAGTCAAAGAGTCATGTTGTAATCTCTGACTTCTAAAAGAATGTGTAATTAATAAGCTAATAGAGGAGGTTAATGGCATAATGAAAATATTTTAATTCAAAAGAAGGCAACAAAGAACAGAATAAGGGATATGAATAAGTGGGCAAAAAGAAATAAATAGTAAGAGGGCATGTATAAATCCAAATACAGCAGTAATTATACTAAATATAAATGGACTAAAACTTTTCCTGTTGAAACAAGGATACAACAGCCTTCCTATTTTCGGCTTAGCTGAACTCTGTATAAAATGTAGTTAACAGGGCGCCTGGGTGGCTCAGTTGGTTAAGCGACTGCCTTCAGCTCAGATCATGATCCTGGAGTCCCTGGATCGAGTTCCGCATCCGGCTCCCTGCTTGGCAGGGAGTCTGCTTCTCCCTCTGACCCTCCCCCCTCTCATGTGCTCTCTCTCTCATTCTCTCTCTCAAATAAATAAATAAATAAAATCTTAAAAAAAAATGTAGTTAACAAATATAACTGAAAAGGCAGGGCTTTCTAGAGCAAAATGTGGACAGGGTAAGTAACTTTGAGCTGCCAGTCCCCCAGAGCTGAATTCTGACTAAAATTTGAACCAAGAAAAGCTGTCCTTTCAGTGCTAGGGATTGTTTTTAACATGCAAAAGATGAGGGCTTTGATCTTTGTGGCAAACCTTTTATTTTGAGATGACCTCTGGAATGTGCCATTAAATATGCAAATGTAAAGCAAAGACTCTCTATGGAAGTTGTTTGAAAAGCTAAACTGTGCTTTGTTGTTGTAAATTGTTTTATTTATTTATTTTTAAAGATTTTATTTATTTGACAGAGAGAGACACAGCAAGAGAGGGAACACAAGCAGGGGGAGTGGGAGAGGGAGAAGCAGCCTTCCTGCCAAGCAGGGAGCTCGATGTGGGGCTCAATCCCAGGACCCCGGAATCATGACCTGAGCCGAAGGCAGATGCTTAACGACTGAGACACCCAGGCACCCCAGTTGTAAATTGTTTTAAATTCTTGCTACTATGTGCTTAAACTCCAGCTTGTTCTTTTCACAGGAATGGCTACGGTTAGTTTTCTTCCAAATTATCAAAAAGCAAACACGACTCATCTCTGCATTATTTTTCTTGTGAAGACCACATACTAGTCTCATATGAAGAACTCATTTTCTATTAATATGACTTCATCTGTCCTTTTTGGGAAATAAAACCTTATTTTATTCTTCTAAGAGAATCCCCACTCTCCCACCACATTTTTTTTCCTTCTGGATGATTTCCATTACAAAGAGCTCCCATTTTACCTAAGACTTCATCTGTCTAATTCATCTAGGATGGAAAATATCCTTTCTAACACATTATTTTGTATTCCCAAATTCCTCTCATTTGGGGATGTGGCTTGGAAGTAAATGATGAAGAGTGATTCAGTAAATCTCACCACACCACACTTATGTTATCAGTGTCAATACTAGAATATGGAGTTGGCTGGACTATCATCTGAAGATATAAATTCCTATGTTATTACTGAATGATCTAGACGGCCTGTGGTATAGAACAATAAGGCTAAGGATTAGAACGGATAAAAGCTAAAGAGATAAATGAGGCAGGGCTGGTTTTGGGGATAAAAATTCCATCTTTTTCTTAGTGACTGAAGAAATGTTCACTCAGTAGGAACATTTTTTTTTTTTTTTTTTTTGAGTCTGTACTGCTTGTATAATCCTATGCCACTGGAGATACAGAGGCATTCCCAAAGAGCATATGTCTGGGAATATATTCATAAAATGTATACAAGAGCAACATATCAAGTGCCAAAGGAATAAGGCAAATGGTCAATATTATGAAAGTTCAGAAAGAAAATACAAATCAAAGTTAAAACAGTGAGTGAAGGGGTGGTCTTTAAAAGGTAAAGCTGAGATGAAATTAGGAGGTGGTAGGGAGGACAGTCTACATGGGGGCGGGGCACAAAGCAGTTAAAGGTCCAGTAGCAGGAGGGCGCCTGGGTGGCTCAGTTGGTTAAGCGACTGCCTTCGTCTCAGGTCATGATCCCGGAGTCCCAAGATCGAGTCCCGCATTGGGCTTCCTGCTCGGCAGGGAGTCTGCTTCTCCCTCTGACCCTCCCCCCTCTCATGCTCTCTCTCTCAAATAAATAAATAAAATCTTAAAAAAAAAAAAAAAAGTCCAGTAGCAGGAAAACACTTCCACTAAAAATTATTAAGCATTTAATATGTCTATTCGTTTGTCACTTACTGCAGGAAAAAAAAAAGTATGACTCAATCTCTGCCTTAAGGAGATTAAACTAGACGAGAGACAAGACAAAGAAACATACATGTCGCCAGTAGAAAACAGGCCATGAGAAGTGCCAGTTCATGGTTCAGCTATCAATTCGGAAAAAAGCAATTCTGCATAGGGCATGGGTAGAAGACAGTGGAACAAAAGAGATCAAGGCTTCAAACTCAGATGTGTGCCACACAAGAGCTGTGTGACCTTGTGCAAGTCACCGGACCCAAGTCTTTGCTGTTTCCTATACAAATGGCTTGGTAAGGTCCAACAAGACTCTCCGTTGTAGGGAGGATGAAGTCATTGTGGTGAAAGGGCTTGCTATGGGTGTCTAAGTTTCCACCCTTTTTCCCCTCCTCACTGCACCTACTCTTTCCTACATACAGTAGGGTGAGATATGTGGGGTGCTAGTGAGAGCAAAAAGGGAATAATAAAGGGAGGCAACTTCCTCCCGCCCTTTGTCCCCTCCCCACTCCCCCAGCTCTCGACCTCGGGTTCCAGGAGAGTCACTGTGGAAGTGGGGTGAGGGCACAGAAGTGGGGAGGGAGGATCTGCTAACTGTAAACAGACATCATCAGGAGTTCAGATCGTCTGGCCACCGGATTTCCGTGCCATACTGAAGCCACCCCACCCATGCGCCTGTCCTCAGCTTCCCCAGCTGTGTAATGGGGATACACCATCTCCTCCTCCCGCTATCCGCCTGACCTAACAGCGTGAGAAAGAAGAGAAGGAACCCCCAGTTGTTGGCCTGGGGCCTATCAGGTCCTCCTCCCACTTTGGCTTTGGCCTTTTGTACCGGCCCCACGTGACCTGCCCGGCCGGCTCTTCTCTCCTGTCCCGCCCCGCCCTCCGGCCTTTCCTGGCTCTCGGCGCAGCTCTTCCCGCTCCTCGCCGGCCCCCCTTCGTGCCTCCCCTTCTCCCTCCCCCCTCGCCTCCCTCCCAGGCTGTTCCCGCTCCCTCCCCCAGGCAGCCGTTCCCTCGCGACGCTTCCCCTCCCCCCGCGGCTGTTCCGCCGCCTCGCCTCCCCTCCCCCCGGCCGGGGCTCACTGTCTCCAAGATGGCGGCCGTGTCAGTTTGGGGCATCTCCGCGGTCCGGCCCGGGGCCCCGGGATCCCGGCTCTCTTCCCCCCCGGTAAGTAGCCGAGGAGCCACCGGCGACCGCCCCTGGCCGTCGAGCCCGAGGCTGAGCCCCTCGGGGGCCCGCTCCGCCGCCTCGCGGGGTCGGCGGGCCGCCGCAGGCCCCGCCGCGGCCTGCGCCGCCTCCCGCTGCTCTGCGCCAGGCCTCGGGCTGGGGCGCCGAGGCCGCCCCCTCGCGCCCGGCCGGCGCCCGGCTCCCCCCGCCCCGCGGCCCGCGCGCCGCCCGCCGGTCCGGCTCTCGCGGGCCCAACGCCCCCGCCGCCCGCCCGCCTGCCCGCCCGCCGGGCCCAGCCCCTGGGAGCCGGCGGGTGGGCGGGCTGCGAGCGGCCCAGGCCGCCGAGCCTCGGGCTGGGCTGTGTCGGCGAGCCCGCTCTCCCTCGGGGGCGCGCCCACAGCCCCGGCCCCACCTGCGCCCGGCCGCTCGCCGCCCCAGGCCGGGCGCGGCCCCTTCTGCCCGCGCTCCCGGGCGCTCGCTCTCCGGCTCCGTCCGGGTTCGCTGAGATCCGAGCGGGGCTGAGGCGGCAAGTGGGGGTGACAGGCTGGCGGGTGTTGTGGTGCGGAGGAGGCAGCACGTGTGGTGTTGTGTCTGTCGGGCTGTCAGCCCCTGTGCTGGGAGGGGAGGCGGCGGGCTGCCTGTCAACCTTCGGCCGGTTTGGACGGGAGCTGCGGGACCTGTCAGGCTCCTTGGGCAGCCTGCGTGCCCCAAACGCCTCCTTTGAACCGGCCTCTGTGGAGCTTAGGATTTGGAGGAGCCGGGAATGGGAGATACATTGCTCTTAACTCTTTCACGTGATTTCATTGTTAACTTAGTCCTCGGGTTCTGTTTCCATCTAATGGGAACGGCGAAGCTACCCGTTGGCAAGCTGCAGGGTTGTGCAGTTCCAAGTTTTTAAAGTTTCTCGCTCTTTAAAAAGAGAGCGCGAAGATGTGTCTGGGGGTGGGGAATGGAGACCGGGGAAGGACTGTCGGAAGCAAGTTGTACTTTCTCTCTAGCCGCTGGTGTACTTTCAGAGAGTTAAAGTTCAAGTCTGCAGGCGCTTTACTTTCGGAAGACCTGGAGACTGGTGAAAACCCTGGCCAGAGAGACAATGAGTAGCTGTCATTCATTCGTTTACCTGCGAGCATAATCAATTAGGACGTTCCCAGCTTCTTAAACTCAGGTTGTAGCCTCTCATTTAGTTTAGCGTTAATGTCTATATAATGAACGTTCTTGGAGTAATAAGACTATGATTTCTATCCTCCCGAGGCTCTCACCAAAATGAAGCATAGCTCTCTCAGGGGGGCTTCTTTTTAGTCAGCTAATTTAAAAATAAATCTTGGCTCAGGTTTGAGTGTTTACTTCAGCCTTTTCTTTCCTATTAGAGTTGATAGGACTGTAGCTTTCCTAATGTCTGTTAGTTTTCCTTTTGATTTTAATGTCAGTCCTAATACTTGCTGCGGGAGCCATTTTTCTATCATTGTTTATGTTGTAATGCAAATGCTCCTCAGAACAAGAGCAGACGTTCTAAAAAAAATAAGTCGTTATATTTATTTTTTGGAAGCAAAGAAGTTAATTTGATTCAGAATTCATTATTTTGGTGATTTTCAAAAAGATGTGTATCTGCCAGATCTTTTTGTTTCAAAGAAGACTATTGACTTTGATCCTGAAGAGGGAATATATTTATGTGCTTGTGTTTTACTCATTAATGTACATTTCAGGTCAGCAATCTTGAATCTGTGAGATTTCTTTAAACCTGCCAACAGGCAATATAGTACATTTGATATGTAGTGTGTGCATTTTTGAACCCAGTGATTCTGGACCTTTCTTACTTCTAGTTTATCTGTAGCTTGGTTGTGAACGTTTTGACAGTTGTTTCTCCCTCTAGTATATCGAATATTAGTATTTTAGTTTGATTTAGGAGAAGCTATCAGCGTGTAGTTCTTAAAATTTGAATTTGGATTTTAAAATTCTTTAACGACTTTCTCACTTGATTTTCAATATTATTTTTGTTTCCATTTGGAATGTTTACAGTAATGTACTTAAAATATGAACTTTATCTGTGTAAATTGTATTCTTTGTTTCTTTTAATATATGAAATAGTTAAAATTTTCTCAATTTTTTTTGCCTTATTGACTTTTTTTTTTTTTTTGACTGTTTTTATGCAGTTTGAATGTCTGGAATTTTGAAAGATGAAAGATTCACTCTTACTTTCATTGCAGGATTCTTTCTACTAATCCAGATACTTGTTGAAGTGCTGAATAGGTTCTTGGGGAAAGATGTCAAGGAAGAGTTTCAGTTCATAGACTGGTGAGCAGAGATTGTGGAGTACAGAATAGTCAGCACCCCTCTGCTTAGTTGTAGCCTAAGGTCATTCATAGTATGTCTCATCTTGTTTCCTCATTGTATCCTAATTATTCATCTTTTTTTTTTTTCCTTTTTACCCCAATGGTTTACATACATAACTGTTTTTGGAATGTTGGTAGAAACTTGTTAAAACTCTACAGGTGCTCAGTAAACACTTGATATTTGATTATCTTTAAAGACTAGGATGTCTCAGTTATTAGCTTATTTACAAAATGGGACTTGATAGAAAACTGACCTTGTTTGTTTTTCAGGCATAAGATGCACATTTTTCTGCTGGGAAGGAGATGTTCTTGAGTTACAACTTTATGAAGAGATCCATGTGTGGTGCTATTGAGAAGTTTATTGGGAAATTTAAAGACATTTCAAATAACAGGTTGTTTTGGTTTCTAAAGTAAAAGTGAGGAGGCACTCTGTGAAGGGAGAAAGGACTCAGGCCAGAAAACTTGTATGCTATGGTTAACTGGTTCCCAGCCTCCGAGAATGTTGTTTTCCATGGTGTAAAACTTACTCAGCATCAGGATAAGGGATAACGACTCTATGGATATACAGAATCCTTCACCATGGTAAAACTCGCTAACCCGCTGTATACGGAGTGGATTTTGGAGGCCATCAAAAAAGTGAAGAAGCAAAAACAGCGTCCTTCAGAAGAAAGGATATGCAATGCAGTGTCTTCATCCCATGGCTTGGATCGTAAAACTGTTTTAGAACAATTGGAGTTGAGTGTTAAAGATGGAACAATTTTAAAAGTCTCCAATAAAGGACTCAATTCCTATAAAGATCCTGATAATCCTGGGCGAATAGCACTTCCTAAACCCCGAAACCATGGAAAATTGGATAATAAACAAAATGTAGATTGGAATAAACTGATCAAGCGTGCAGTTGAGGGCTTGGCAGAGTCCAGTGGCTCGACTTTGAAAAGCATTGAACGTTTTTTGAAAGGTCAGAAGGATGTGTCTGCATTATTTGGAGGCAGTGCTGCCTCTGGCTTTCACCAGCAATTACGATTGGCTATTAAACGAGCCGTTGGCCACGGCAGACTCCTTAAAGATGGACCTCTTTATCGGCTCAACACTAAAGCAACCAGTGTGGATGGGAAAGAGAGTTGTGAGTCTCTTTCCTCTTTACCTCCAGTGTCACTCCTTCCACATGAAAAGGATAAGGTAAGAGTGGCATATGCATCAGTGTTCGTAGAGCTGATGCTACAGCATGCTATGAAGTCATATTTCTAAGAAGTTATATAGAAGTTACATTCAGGTTTTGTGTTTGGGGACTTATGGAATGATCACCTCTGGTTTTTTATTGATGAGTTGTTAGAATTCAGTAGATACCGTTGTCCTTATACTTTGAAATATTTGATACCTGAGTCTCAGAGTGTATTGATGCACCTAAAAGAACATGTTTAGATTAGAATTTAAAAGTAGCATTCAACTTGAAGGCTGTTGTAAGTTCTTACAACATCTTACTGCTGGCAGTTGATGAGCGCTGCTAAATGTTGGAGGCTTGGATTTGAAATAAGCAGGTGATTCTAAGAACCTCTCTTTTTCCTTTTTTTCTTTTGTTTTACATTATCATGAGGCAGGAGTGAGACTGATTCTCCTGGCCCATAGTAATAGCTAAGCAAATTTATCAGTTCTTATTTCTGTTGTATTCTAACTTTCTGTCATGTATTCTTTTCATAGGATGAAGTCCTAAGTGTTATTGTTTATGACAGGGGTAACTACATGGGTCAGGAATAAAGTATCCTGTATTCCTAAAGTTCTGTGGAGTTGTGAGTTTTGATACACAGTGGTATACCTTACTGTACTCAGTGTTTCATGCTGTTATTTTGTGCAGTTGAAAGTACACTAAGAAACAGCAAAATGTGGCCCTTAAATAGATACTGGGGGATGAGGAGAATTTTGTTAGTAGCAGTTTTTTACATTGACCTAGTGTCTTAGCTGTAAATTTATTTCAGGTGTTCTGAATTGTAGTTCTGGGGAGAGTCGTAGTACAGATGGACACTTTAGTATACAATAGTAAAATAATCTTTATCTTGCCTAAGATCATGGAAGCTACTTCTAGGTTGAGAAGATTGTAAAGTTAACATTGCATGTATTTTAAAGTATTTGAGATTCAGTCTAAATTTATTGCAGTTAATAACCCACCTATAGATTTTTGTTTGAATAACAATTGAAAACAGTATTTTTCTTTGATGAAGTTTTTAGAGATCTATTTTAGGGTTCAATTTTCCCTGTGAACTTTGAAATAGAAACATTATCTTACTGTTATTAACCTTGAAATGATTCTGATAGAATGGTTGTCATTTGAGCATTTATTAAAAGTGTGGTATTAAAAATTCAAGGTGGACAGGTAACTAAAATGCTTTATTCTGTAGTTCAGTGCTGTTGTAGAACTCTTACTGTAAGAACTGTTTCTTGATCACATATGGCTAAAGTTAAAAGAAGTATGATTGATTCCTGAAATTGTTACCAAATGATCTACAGGTTAACTACTGGAAACAGGAAATAATTTATAGTTTACAATGAATTCAGTGTTGTGTGAATTGAGTATTATAAATTCTTGTTAGAACACCTGGCTGCTTGCTTTCATTATAGTTTCCCTTGCTTGAATTAAATATTTTAATTTTTAAAAATATTAGCCATACATAAGACATCAGTTGTGCATATTTTTAAAAGGTAGCCAATATAGTACACTATGGGACATATCTGAGTCCTGTCACCCTAGGATTTTACTTTTGAAAGGGATCTTGAGAACCATCTAATCCAACAATTCCTACTTTACAGCTGAGCTGAGACCTCTACATTAAAAAAAAAAGTTTAATCCAGTAGAGATTTGCTGGTTTACTTTGGTTAGAAATATCTTTTTGGTTAGAAATATCTTTTTGGTTACATAACTGTAATATATAGTGTTATTAACTGAAGTAACTAAATTTGGAGTATACATTTAGGAAAATCGAGTTTCATTGAATTGAGACTTCTATATATGTGTACTGGTCTGAATTGAAAACTAATTTTATGATATCTATGAAATTAGAGTTGATGAGATCTGTTATATATTTTTAAATAGTCTTATTTTCAGTAGTGATTTTCCTGAGTGCTTCCCCCAAAGATAGGAAAAGCTCACATTTGAAATCACAATACAGTGAGGAATTATTCCTTCTCTGAACAGATTATATAGTTTTGCTCTTTATATTGTATTTTATTTACTTTCTTTCCTCTTTTTAAAATTGATTGGTTTGCTGTTATGAACCTAGATATTCTCAAAAAAATTAGGGTGTATTCGACAGTGATGGAGAAAGGAAAATGTAGGCCAGAAGTAGTTCCACTTTTAGGCCTTAATTAATTCAGCAAAAGGTTATTGAGCACCTGTTGTGGGCCAGGCACTCTCCTTAGAACTGAAATGGCATTATTTCAAGTTCCTCTTTATTTTTTTCTATATGAATTTTAACTTTTATTTCTTTGGGATATCAACTTTTGGAAGGAACTGTAGAACTGTTAGATTTTCAGCAACTGAGTGGTTTTTGCTACTTTTGGTGGGATCAGCTGTGTAGAAATACTGTATTTTTAAGAGTTTTTGTGAACACACTTGAAGTTAAGTGTGTTTTCACATTTGTAAATAGTGAGGAAAATCCGTGGGATACTATGATTTAAAAGTTTTATCCACGTTGTAAGGGAAATTTCTGAGCTAGCTTTAGGGTTGTGGTAGTTTATGGTGACTTTGTTTAACTTGATATGTTTACCATGTGCCAGGCATTACTTTAAAGCTATACATGTACTAACTTATTTAATTCTCATACAACTCAATGAAGTAGGTTCTGTTATCTTACAGGTGAAGAAATTGAGGCATAAAACCTCTTTATGCCTCATAAAGAGGCAAGAGGTTTAGTAATTTCTCCGAGTCACAGAGATACTAAGTGGCAAAGCTAGGATTTGAACTTGGGCAGTCTGGCTCCAGTCTTTATAACAGCTATACCTACTGCCTCTTGGGAGTTGTTACATATAATGCCTGTCACTGCAGTCAAGTACACAATTGTGAATGTTCTTGGTGTTAACTTCATAGCACATTCTCTAATTATGAAAGGACACATTTCCCCATACCTCTACCCCTTCACGGTTTGTGTCTTTTTCTCTATGATAGACTGGATTCTAAAACTGGCCTTGAACCAGTGATAAGAATGTATCAGAAACCAGAGATTATGAAAAATCTAGTTTTGTATACCTGAGGTCCATAAAAAAATGGTTTTTTTTTTTTTAAAGATTTTATTTATTTATTTGACAGAGAGATAGCGAGAGCAGGAACACAAGCAGGGGGAGTGGGAGAGGGAGAAGCAGGCTTCCTGCCGAGCAGGGAGCCCGATGTGGGACTCGATCCCAGGATCCTGGGATCATGACCTGAGCCGAAGGCAGACGCTTAACGACTGAGCCACCCAGGCGCCCAAAGAAATGGTTTTGTCTACATGACATTTTGTTTTATTTTTTTTTTCTTGAAGATAATGTCTGTGCTTATTAATTTTCATTTTATCTGTTACTGAAGTTTTCTGATTTGCAGTCTGGGATTTGTTGCATGGCTGTAATAGCATGCTTTCATTTGGGAATTCAAAATGTTGCTTTTCCTTGAATTGTGGCATGGAGATGAGGGTGATAGTGTGAAACTGGCTTAAATAACAATTGGCCCCTTGCAAATTTTGTTCCTTTTGAAATACAGATTTTACTGTAAATAATTTGTTCATTTGTTTCATTTATTCATATTCAGCAAACATTTAGATGTTTACCATAACAATGAATTTAGGATTTAGGTCTTGTTGAGGATTAAGGCTAAGAGAGATGAAATAAATGTTTTGGGGATTCTTTTTTAGTGTATAAAATACAACTTTTAGTTTTTTACAGTCATTGTGTTCATAACAATTAAGTGTTGTGAATCCCTGAGAAATAATGAGATGTTTCTTGGGGGAGGCTGTATTACTTGAGACTGTGATGGTTTGTATCTTTAGACACTGAGTCTTGGAAGGAACCTTTTCAGGAATAATTTTCACCTTGATTTCAAACTTTTGGCTTCATTTTAACACAGAAAAATGTACTTGAATATATATTGCTTATGTTCCATATTACTTGTCCAGAAAACTGTACTCTTGTGATAATCAGCCACATCATTAAAGTGTTACTCTGTTGAATAGTGTTGTGGAACATTTGCTGAAGCATTAGTTGGAAAGGGTAGAGAAAGTATTGTCAACCAATGTTATTGTTTAGGTTATTACCCAGCTAGGTTAGTAACCTGGAGGAGAAAGATCAAGTGATAAATTTATAGCCTTTTTAAAATAAGTTCTATCTCAATACAGTAAACCGTTAGTAGAATCCAAATTATTTTTGTTACTAGAATTTGACATTTTAAATTCACAGAGTAAGTGGGGCTTTGATGTACAGATGTGAATTTGGGAATATGTTTTCAAGTTACTGAGTTAAGAATAATAAAGCTTTGATTTAGCTATTTGGAAATGGCCTTTATAGTAAAATTGATGCTATGTCATTTTTTGGTGACTCTAAATGTTGTGGGCCCTGAGGAAAAGCTGGCTAGAAATAAAAATTTGTTAACTACAAGTTATTGAGGTAGGTTAAATATAAATGTGGTTAGGAATTGCCTTTGTCTCAGCAGACTTAGTCTTATTAAAAACCCAGAATTTTAAAAATAACTCAGGCAGAGATATCTTTGTAATACAGTACAATCAGCTGTATGGGCAATTTTGGGTCTTCTAGTTAGCCTGTGAACTGTGTGTGTTTTGGGTAATTTTCAGCCCATGACACACCCTGAAAGAAAATTTGATCTACTAAAGCAATCTTTGGTTTTAGCCATTGCTAATCAAAACTTCTATACCCAGCCAGTGCATGCAACCTAGATATTTTTCCTATACTTTTGACAGTACCACTTTACTCTTTCTTGGACTAACTTCTAATAAATTGATGAAATGAAGGGAAGACATTAATGAAGATGTCAGATACTATAAATTGCTTCGGGAATAGGGATCTAGAGGATCTAACCATCTTGACCTTTCTTTGCCCTGTATCAGTAGGCCAAGGGAATGTAAGCAGTTGCTTATAGAAACCTATTAATAGCTAACATTTGTTAAGGGCTAACAATGCGTTGAGTACTGTTCTGAGTGCTTTAA